AGAGGAGGAGTAGAAGGTGGCTGATAGAGGAGGGCTGAGAATTAGGGGTTGGTCGCAGGCAGCGTGCGCGCGAGAGGGTTTTGCCAGAGAGGGAGAGGGTGGAGTTCCCCTCTTGCGCTTTCTCTCTCTTTCCCTCTCACCTTCGCTCTCTCGCTCTCTCGCTCTCTCGTTCTCTCCCTTTCTCACGCCCTCTCTCGCTCGTTTCCAACCCCTCTCGAGCGCGCGCGAGCATTCGGGATTCGAGGCGATGTGGAAACTCGAGCAGACAGCCAGTCGCTCGCCGTACGCTTCACGACGTGGCTCGAGAGTGCTGCCTGGCCGATCGAGATAAACGACGACGACGACGACGACGACGACGACGACGATGACGACGGTGTAATGCCAATCCTCGGCGACGAGGTCAGTCGACTCTGGTCCATATCGTGACTCGCCGTCGTCTTGAAACGTCGATCGACACTTGGCGATCTTGCCCGTCCCGATTACTCGATCGTCGATCGTCGCTCGCCAGAATCCACAGGTACCTCCGCAAGTGCACCATGGAGGTCAATAGTGTTCGCGAAATGAACGGCCGGATCGGACAGCTGTCGCCGCGAATTGACCGGGATCGATCGAGAAACATTACGTTTTCATAATACTTCGATAGTTCGTAAAAATCTCATGTGACATACGGGCTCTGCCAGTCACGAGATCGCGAGAGCAAGACAATTTGTAAGGACACTGAAGGGTTTAAGGCGATACTCGACCGGAAAATCGATTGGCTCCAAGATCGAAACGCGCGAGCGAACAAGAGAGGACGTGAACGGTGATCGATCGGGGATAATCACTTACTTCCGATCAGTGATGACCCTTATGGACCAGCGTGCGAGGCGTGCACGCGTTTCGTCAGCGCGGCTCCGTTTCAACTGCCGCGGGGCCAAATTTCCGGTCAGGAAATTCAACGTCGATCGGCGTGGCAGCGACGCGGCAAAATTAGTCGGAAGTGCCGGCGAGTCGGATTAACATGGTTGTCATCGTTGCGAATAGTGATTCTATCATACCTAATAATGGCTACCGATCCGATTGGAGGCTCAAACAGTGACAGTGAATCAATCGCAAGAAACGAAGATTAAAACAGAGCTAAGCCGCAAAGGAGGGAAGGGAGACGCAGTGGTGCGGACAACTGATGAGAGAAGTTGAGAGAAGGGTGGAAGTTTTGCGAGAAAGATTGAGGAAGGATCGCGGCTGAGAAGGAGCACGAGTGCCATTTCCACGGAGAATTTAATAAGCCCCACGAAGCGCTCTCCCCATAGATCGAATACGACGTCGTTGGGCTTTCCGATCCGCTGTCGCAAAATATTTCAGACGATCCGTCGGCACTGAATGGCACGGCTTAAGACGGCTTCCCGTGTGTATCGCCGTAATCGCGCAGCGCGGGTAATCGAAGCGATAGTAGACTGAAGAACCCGAAAGCTTTTCTCTCGTGGTCGTGATCCCTCTTTACTCTTTCCCGCTTCTCTCTTTTTCCATCTCC